GCAGAAGTGATGAAATGGAAAAAGAAGAGAAGGAAGCTCAGTCTGTGCTTTATGGCATGATCGATTTTGGTTTGAGATTTCACTCATCACTTTTTATTTGCAGCTACTACGATCAGTTGGTTGCGATCGAGAATAAAGTGCCAATGACGGCCACCCAGAACCCGATATCATTCAAATGGAAGGACGCATTCGACAAGGGCTCGTTGTTTTTCGGCCGAGCATCACTCAGTACGTCCTCATCCACTGATTTAGCTTCGGCTCTGAATTTTGTGCCACACTTACCTACCCATGCTGGTTGGGCACGGATACCGCAGGCCTTTCTCCGCTCCTACTCCTTACCCCCCTCCTCCCATGCATGTCGGAGTCAAGCAGTATTCATTGTGTTTTTGCCGTGTAGCGCTAGGGCGATGCAACCGGCAGCAAAAAAATGCAACGATCCTGTCTGTGTGTGTGTGTTTGTGTATGTGTATGTTCACCTGCACAGGTACTTCTACTCAGCTACCAAACAGGCTATGATACCGAATTTTTGCCAGTGTGTTGCTTGGGTAGATGCGACCCCAGGAACGTAATAACAACTGTCGCGCACTTCTACATTTCGAGTACGAGCATGTGAAAGTTTTGACGGGAAAATTGCTAACTCGGGAACCAGAAAAACTAAAAAAAATTGCAATTTTAATGGAATGTTCCCTGTCCAAGTACAACTTAAAAATACTCATGGACGATACCCTACTCATATACAACTCATAGATTTCAAATTCAGCTGTCAAGAACCGTCCGGGCCTCATTCTAGCTGCTAGGATTCCAAGCGATCTGGCATGAAATAGTGCAGAAACGCATAATCGCAGCGGCTCAGCTGGTGAGCGTCGCCAATGATTTTCTTGTTTCACTCATCGGAGGCCACTTTGTAGCACTGAGTGACGGGGCATTCGAGCGAGCGGCAGTGCTGTTCAACTGTGGCGCGTTGATGTCCGCAATCGCAGCCTCACAACCGATGCGTACGGATGAGGAGCTCAAAACGGCTGCGAAATTCTTTCAGCAATCAGCTGGTGTTTTCGCTCATCTAAAGAATAACGTACTGGCAATGGTACAGCAGGTTTGCTTTTTCTCACAGACAACACATTTCTCGTATTTCACTTCCTCTGAGCAAAGGAGATGTCCCCCCCTTCC